AACATTTCTCAGTTACCGATACAGGAAATTTTGTCACGACTCTTCTGTTTTTTAAATTGGAAGGCTTCACTTGGCACTTTTTTTTTCTTATGCTGCTTTCTTTGCTTTATTGTGAAGGACAAGATGAGAAATTGCTGTTGAAAGCTCTGCAGAGATGCAACATTTTTCTTTCTGCTCAGTAGTCCAGAATCTGTGCGAAGAAAAGCCTTCTGGCCCTGAAGTTGTTGCTCTACTAAAGCGACTCCTTTCCCAGCCAGCTTGATAGGAAAACACGGACTTCAAACCGTTTATTATATTTAACAAAATATCTTCAGTCATGAAGTGTTAAGTAGCTAAACCTAGAGCTTCAGTGGCTCTGATCCTGCCCGGGCTGCCTGCGCCAGCCTCCTGCCTGAAATCAGTACGGAAACCCTGCAGACCTGGCCCAGCGCTGGTACCCAATGGTCAACCCAATGGCTGCTGCAATGGCGGAGCCGAGTACCACAGCGGGGCCAGGGGTAAGAGCTTTACTCCAGCAGTTTCTCCCTTGACACCAGCTGCACCACCACAGCTCACGGGCATGGAAACACACATCATTTGTAAAACAAGAAGCAGCAGAAGACTCTATCCAAATGCAGACCCCAATCTCCATCCGAGGAAAGCTGGCCACCTTTCCTGCTGTGTTTCTGGAGAAAGCGAGCAGTGCCCGTCTGACAGCCATATGAAATGCACCCAGGTCCCTGCAGCCAGTCCTGCCTTTCCACTGGGATGGAGAGCTGAGTGACACTTGGACCAGGATTTTCAAAGCCACCAGTAGGATCTGGACCCGTAACTCTCATTAAGTCAAATAAAAATTAGTGATGATGACAACTGGCTAACCACAACTTCTTTCACCTCTCTTCTCCTCCTCTGCCAAAGCTATCTAGCACTCAGGTAAATTATGAGGTTCGGTTAATACGGATATTTTTACCATTATAATTAGGAACATGCTCATTACTGGTTTATTATTTTTCTTTTCTGGTATGTTTTCACTCTTACATCTGATAGACACTTTCAAATTCATTTTCTTATTACTACCGTTCAACCTAGTAATACGTACAAGGCAAAAACAATAGCCCGCAACCCTACATGCTTCTGATATGGGAACCACTTCTTTTCTTTTTTTTTAAACTAAGCATACAGATTCTGTCAGGAAGGCAGGCACAGCCAAGCCACACATATTATATTTTATTTAAATTTTATAAAACTACGTATCCAGCAAGGGGCAGAGGGAGAAGGTAAAAGAAAAAATTGACAGGTCAAATCGAAAACTGTATTTTTAAGTTAGATTATTTTCATTGCCAGCCTGCTTCTTATACCTCCTTTCAGAGCTCATAAATCTCTGCAGGTAACAATCAATGCCTTGCAAAATTCAGACAGAGAGGCATCAGCTCCACTGAAAAGACCTGCCTTCATGCAGCCTTCCAGCGGTTCA